CTGGAGCATCTCTCCTCTGAAGAAAGGCTGCGAGAGCTGGGCCTGTTGAGCCTGGAGAAGAGAAGACTGAGAGGGGATCTCATCAATGTGTACAAGTATCTGAAGGGGGAGTGTCAAGAGGATGAGGCCAGTCTCTTACCCGTGGTGCCCCGCAACAGGACAAGAGGCAATGGGCAGAAACTGAACCACAGGAAGTTCCATCTGAACCTGAGAAAAAACTTCTTGACTGTGAGGGTGACAGAGCATTGGAACAGGTTGCCCAGAGAGGTAGTGGAGTCTCCTTCGCTGGAGATCTTCAAAACCCGTCTGGATGTGATCCTGGGCAATATGCTCTAGGTGACCCTGCTTGAGCAGGGAGGTTGGACTAGATGATCTCCAGAGGTCCCTTCCAACCTAAACCATTCTGTGATTCTGTGATAATGTAAATGTAAGATATATTAAAATGTGATTTTTTTCCACTCATGTTAGTGATACCTATCAAAATCAATTAAGGAGAGCAAATACAAACATCTCGATAATATATAATTTAAAAACACTACACATAAGTAACATTTTCTTGCTTGATACACAAATGTATTTTTTTTTTCTGAGCTATTAAAGAGGTGGTGCAACTTTATTTCTAAATACTGCTATTCATCTGTGCAGTGCTCCCAAGAGTCTTTTGCTTATACTTAATCATACATAATCAAATGAAATGGTGACTGTAAAGCACAGGTGGCAACACAATTACATATTTCCAAGTGAAACCCCTGCTTTCAGGATGTCATTTAGAAACAATCTGTGACAGGTGTTTTAAAAAACATGTTAGAAGAGACATAACCAAACCTTTTTCAGCTGCTCTTCCATTCCTGGTATTAACATCACGCAGGCAACACTCACACCAAGAAGTAAAAAGAACGCATAAATCAGCCTAGTTATGGTGGAGTTGTTTCCACTGGGGCAGCATCGGCAGAGTAGGCATGGGGCACTTCCACAGAGACATGGTATCTGATAGAGAGACAGAACGCAAAATAAGTTCTTTAGAGTTTTGTGTTACTAGATTTCAGTAATTAATTAGGCTATGTAGATTATCAGACATGACTACAGAAAACATCTCATCCTACGTGCCTCATCATTAGCACAAGTTAAGTCCTTGTGACGTATTAGAGAGCCTCCTAACAATCTTGCTAGTACTTCCTACTCAGCAAAGATGATTTTTCTGTCTCAAAAGTAATCATTTACAGACTCAGGGAAAATAAATATTGGATTTGGGCTTATTTGTTCACTTGAATTTTATTTTACTTCAGCTAAATAAGAATCAAGGGTCGCTTTTTGGTAACTACTACACCATCTGAGGAACACGTCTACCATTCCACAGCCATAGCAATTAAATGAATACGCTGCAGAAAAATCTTCTTGGGAGCAACTGCCACTTAGGTGCATCTTCAGCATCTGGCAGAGCTGGGCTGTAATCCTTACTGAGGCACTAGATTATAAAATTAACTTCTGCATTGTAAAACAGTTACAAATTGCAAGTATAAAACAAAAACATAGCGCATGTATTATCTCTACCAAATATCAACAGCGAAAGTGGACAGGAATGCTATACAGCTGTAAATATTTTGAGGGGAAAAATGCACATATAGTTGAAGATGAAAAATACTTCCATTCAACATGGTTTGCCCTTAAAAAGAAAACTGAGAGGAAAAAGGAAAGGGAGCAGACAGTGCTATTTCACAAAAAAAAAAAAAAGAAAGAAAAAACACACACACACACACCACACAACACTGTCTCATTCATTAGCCATTTTCTGCCACCCAATAAGTGGCACTTCAGGGGGTGAAAGGACTAGGTTCCCCAAGTAAGCACAAGCTAAGTGAAAAATAAAACAGGGAATGATTCACTCAAAACATTTAAAAAAAATGTATTTTATTTCTGCCTAGAGAGGAATTATGGTGTGTAAAGAGATATGGAAAATCCCAACGAGCAGTTAAGAGCTAAGTTGGAGGACACGTTATTTTACAGTTTAAGTACAATTTACCAACGTGAGGACTAAGCAGGGCACAACCGTTTTCCCTGGCCCAGTTGCCACCTCCTTCAATAAGCAAGTGCTGTTCTATCTCAGCTACAACAGAACACCCAATCTCTTACAAAGTTACTAAACTGCTGTAAAAACTAGCTTTTATCCTACCACGTATTCAGGTACATCTCTGCCAAGGGATAAAAACATAGGTGTTAATTATTACATGAAAGACACCCAGTCAATCACATAAAAAAAAAAATTATGAGTGGTCACACTGTCAGATGACCAATACATGTCAGTCAGGCAAAAGGACAGGCATGTGTCACAGGAGAATTCTTAAAAGCACAGTCATATGACAAACAGAATTCCAGTGGGCTGCTGCTACTGGAAAGGCCACAGGGCTTGGAGAGAAGAGCAGATGACTGCTAAGAGCATTCTCACAGGCTTTTCCAGAAGCCCTCAGGAAAAGCATCAGATTATCTGCTCTGACAGGTTCAACTAGACCTACATGCTAGAAACTAGGTCCCTCCTTTTAAATAATTTCCTCGTATTTTTTTCTTTTTCAAGGATGGAGGAGCCATGAATTTTCACTCTGCTACGCTACAGAATCATTTTTACCCGAGCAAATTTCAGAATTAAGAGTTGCTTTGCTAAAAGTGAACCTATCTAGATTTTCATTTTAACTATTTCAGTGTGTAAAAGACAGCATATCACCCATTTTTATCGTTTCCTCCTCCACACAGCATCATAACAGCACAGAGCATGAAGGTGTTGATAGCAACCAACTACATTTGAGGCATCTCTGCTTCGTAAGCAGGAAATCCATGGCAAATATTGGATTAGCACATACCAGAATTTTATAGCACTAATGTATTACACTGTCCCCTGCTCCATAACTTTTCTAGCGAAGAATATTTCTGTCCATACTCAAAACTTACTTTACATAATTCCGTCTGCAGTACTACTTTTGAAGATAACACTGAATGAAAGGTTGAACTTGGCAGCACAGGACCTCAGCCTGGCTCCACAGGCTGCAGAAAACTCTTTGCAAAGACTGTCCAGTATAAGAGCCACTTCTCAGGGGAATCCCTACATTAAATTATTTATTAAGTGCTCCTAACTGGAACACCTTCCTTCCGACTGCATCAAAGGGAATATACAGGAAGTGTAGCCAGTGTATCCTGGGTGCTTCTAGGCACACAGGAGGCTGGCAATGGCTGAAATAAAGATGACTGTCTCCTCATCACTGCGATGCAACATGCCCAAAATGAGGCAGCGTATCTTGTTTAAGTGTCTGAGCTCCAACAGCATCTTTTAATTCTGTCCCATAATCACATCCTTACCAGCTGTAACCAGGCACTCCCCTGAACAAGAGATCTCTGTTCGTACAAGCTGGTTATTTCTGCAAGGAATCATGTTACAGTCGTGGAGTTCCTCCTTCTTTTGACCAGACAGCACATATACTAACAACATAATCATATTATTATACTATTGGCAAAACCATTTCTAACAAGTAATAGATTTCAAAAAGAACAGAGAGTAAAAAACATTCTGTCCATGGAATTCAGTTAATCAGCAGAGCAAGTAAGAATACAGTTTGTGTCACTTCCTTTAAATTCAGAGCACTTCTCCTATAAAAGATAGTCTTTCCAGCACAGCAGCTACCGTACAAACGGTAGGACACTACTACCTAGACCAAAGCTTAAAATTAACCCTTCAGGTGAAGTTCTGCATAGTCATAGAGGCAGACAAGGAGCTATTCCATCATTAGTTTTTAGTCTGTGTTCTTAAGGAAGCTAGAATAATAATTAATAAATCATGACCACATACATCTTTTGCCATCCAATAACTTTTGAACCTACTGACCAACTTACATTCCAGTAAGTTTTTGAGAAAAAGCAGCAGCTCAGTGGAGTTCACTGAGGAAAGTTAAGAATGGATGACCCACACGCTTATTTTGGCAGCAGCCAGCTGGAGAGATGAGTTAATTCATGCTTGCCAGAGTAGTCACCTCATTCTCTAGGCCAGTGGAAATTGCAGAAAGAACATGCAGCAAGACAAATATTGCAAAACACAGATGGAAAGAAAAAACACTGAAAGTCAGGTGTTACTGCTTGTGATGCATCCAGGACAAGTCTTTAATATTGAATGTAATCTTCTTAAGGTAAAGACTATATGATTACATACCAAATTAAGTGCCTGCAAGAACACTAAGCCCCCCACTGGGCCTAGTCAGGTTTTAGCCACATCATCCCTATTCACCTGCTTAAAGGAACTGATTCAAACAAGATCTTTGTCTTGTTAAAGAATATTAAGGTGAGGGAAGCAGCAGCTGAGCCGTTTCAGTACAATACAAGCAGGACCCAGCAGAGAAAAGATAGCAAGACTGATTGACCAGTCTAGGCAATTTGGATCAGAAACTTTTAGCTGAGATGACAATGTTTCTAAGGACCTTTTCCCCTTCCTCTCTCAGGATCATCTTTGCTCTTAACGTTTAACCAAAATGCTGCCTGAACAGCACACGCTTCAATGTACAGCAGAGCTACATTCAGCACTAACAAGACGCAAAGCTGAACCCAGAAGAAATAAAGAGGTCTGATACTGTGATCAGTTACTCAAAACAGCTCTGCAGGGCACAATAAACGGCCTTGCAGAAAAACTACACAGTAGAAGCAACGCTAGCTTCCTTCAGGACAGATGAGGAGTAGGTTTCCAACAACAGCACAGTTCTGCACTGGCACAAACTCCACTGCTTCTGGTTCTCCTGCTGCCTCACCCTTATGGCTTGTTTCTCTTCCAAAGTCATGAACCGTGCTTATACGGACATGTCCTTAGACACAGAGATGCAGGCTGATTCCCGCTATGGGAACTATCATATGCTTCAAAGCATTGATTAGCTGTGGATTTAACCGAGGAAAGAAAAAAATCAACACTTTAAAGCCATTAGCAAAAAACAAAAAAACAAACAAACAAAGAAGAAATGCTCATTGCTTTGTTTGACGCTCTAAGGGAAGAGAAGGGAGTTACCCATAGCAACTCTAATTTAATCAGGATCACACACTTATGTTAATTATTTTATTTAAAAGACCATTAGCTGAATCTGAAAGCACTTCTCTGTACAGAAATGCACACTTAAGACCAATAGCAAGTATATGGGGATACTTTATGTGCTACCAGCACCAGTCGGTTACCGGAAAGCCTGTTTATGCACTTGAACATGCAATCTATATTAACTCAAGTATTTTAATTAGACCATACACTTACACTGTCCCTTACTATTTGACAATAATTAAAAATGTTGAAGTTAACTACATCCTGCTAGTAATTTAAAACCTAACTGCTTAATCTATTAAGTGGTGTTTAAAACTTTAGTTAAAGAGAAGCGAACACAGACAGTGTTTCTTTAAGAGGTTATCATCAGTGCTTTAGTAGTTTATTTACATGTTTATCAGCCTGGAAGCTTAGCTTTTACCCAATAAGAATTTAGACAGGAGATTGAGGAATTACATATTTAACAAACTAACATATTTAGTTATGCGTCTAGTTAAATATGCTCCTGTACTAGGACAAACAAAGTTCATATGTTTTGATCCATTACAGCACAAAAAAATAGGAGGCCGAATCAATGTGAGGTTTTATTAGACTGCTAAGCTTGCTGTATGAACCCCTGATTAAATATATACAACTCATTTAAGCCAAGAACAGTACAATGTTTTTGATGTTCAAAAGTTTAGGTTTTTAATCCCACTACGTTTTTTTTTTTAAATCCTAAACGTCTGAGTCATAATCCACACAACTGTATTTATTTGCATAGGAAGTAAATCTGCAAAGATATCTGATTATTAAAGATAATAAGACAATAACGCCTCAGCGGGGAAGACCTGTGCAGAATCGCCAACAATATCTGCGTTTTTCTGCATGGTGTTAAGAGTTTTAAGAACCATTGCAAACTAGTATTTCTGAGCGTTCAGAAGCAGCACCTGACAACGCTCAGTAAGAG